AAATTTATGGATGATAATAAAAAACCCCTAGGGAAGGTGATCGCTATCAAAATATATATAATTTAAATGTCCCTTGGGTTTCTTGCTGGTTCTTCCATAGATAGAGGTTTTGTTCCGAACCAGTGGCAAATTAAAAAAATAACTTTCAATAAATATTATTTATGACCTACTCTAGCTGTTACCCGCGGCTTCGCCCGCATGGTCACTGGGAAATGAACTATCCATTGATTTTTGAATTGAAAGAAAACTGAGCTTTATAGATTTGTAAGAGATGCAGCCATTATAAGGAAACTGAGCAAAATTGATTCGTCAGCCTATTTAAATGTTTTGAAACGCAGCGTATAGGAAAGCATGAAAATAGCCTGTTTATTCCGAATGGAAATGGGATATTTTTTAATTAAAGGAAACTGAGCATAATTATCCGTCAGGGATGCAGACTTTTGAAAAGAAACTAAGCTAAATTAATTCGTCAGAGATGCAGTTTTCTGAATTTTTTTTTTCTAATCTTATATCTTCAATTTTTCCAAGTGCTTCATTATAAATGTGTTAATTGTATGTCATGTTCCCGTGTGTCTGCTGTAAGCTTCGCAAAATATCTTCCGCCATGTTCTCTTTATATTTGTCCCACAATTCATGAGCATTAGACAGCCCGCTAGATGATATGAGAGTTGCATAAAGATCCCTAATTTTGCTGTGACTGGCACTACACAGTTTCCTCCATGGTTTCATCCCAGTGATTATCGTTTTCTAAAAGATGCAAAGCTTCACATGCTTCTCTATAAGTTGCGCATTCCTGACCGTTGACAGTTTTAAGGTCTTTATGTCCTGTAGGACCCCGAACATGGTGCAGCAGCAATCGTAAACAGAGACATTCAAAATTAGTTACAATGACGGTATACACACGAACAAGGGCATCTGATGACTTTACACCGGGCCAATTTGAAACAGGCGCGCCTTGAGTACGGCGTTTCCACTCCTTCCTAGATGTGTTCCAAGTATAATAGCGAGGGACTTCAGAATATAACAACGTTTTTGCAAAGGGGTCGGTTTGACAAAGTTGAAAGAAGGCTGTTAGTGTAGTTTTTTGTGGTGATGCAATTCTTACTTGGAAATTTCTTTCGGTAAAATATACACGCTCTCCATTTTCTAAATGCACAGCAAGGTGAGTAACTGTTGGGTACCTTTCGTGTAAAGGGAAGCCAAGGAGACGCCACGCTGCCTCGTTACTGCTGAGATAACGCCCTGCTTGAAAGGTCTGTACTTCAATAACGGGATTTGCCTCACCTTCACTCCTGAGATTAAAATATTGCTTGGTCGCTTCCTTTATTTATGTACTTACAGATATACTTGATTGCGCGGACAGAGCTACATGTTTCTACATTAATTTGGGCATTAAACATTTTACATAGAATGGGCGAATACGGGACAATCCAGTTGTTATCTAAGGTTTCGAACGCTCCAGAGCAAGATTTGATTGTAACTTTCCTGTCACCATATAAAGGGTAGCCATTGTCATTGTACACTGTTTCTTTTAATAGCTGATTAGGGAATTTCTTTGTAAATTTTCCTTCTTGCATACATGGCGATATTGAATTTCGTGCTCCACATGGACCGTGAATCATATTTCGGACGATAGTATCATACAATTCTTTATCTTGCTCAGGATCCGGAATCTCGGCGCCTATTATGTCGTCTATTTGGCTGGGCCGCAACTTCTCTTTAAGCCATATTAGAATGTGGGCATGCGGTAATCCTCTTTTTTGCCATTCAATTGAATACATGAAGCACTGCACCTCTCCAAAAATTTTCCCTTTGTTAATTACATACATTAATTTTTGTACTTTTAATCTAAATACTCTAGCAACTAAATCGTATCTGTCAGTACTTTTTTGGCCCGGCATTAGCTCCTCGGTTATTTCTTTCCATGTGGGATTGCAAGTAAAAGTAACAAAAAGATCAAGTCTTCCGTAAGTTTCGTAGTACTCATGTAGGTAGCGGGGACTGTTAACGAATGATGAGGGCAGAATTACCGTTTTACCTAAATCTCTGGGGTTTACATAGGCGTCGCTAGAAACTGCATCTTGTAAATGAATATAATTTTCGACGTGCAAATTTTTTGGATTTAAAGATATATAACGAAGACGTTCGTTTTCATGATACGCATAAAAATCCATACGTGATACTTTTTTGTTCGGAGTAGGCGCCTTTGTGACCGGGTTAATGAGTGGAATTTGAAAATGATAACCCACTTGTCCTTTGCAATAACTCAATGGGTATTGCAGAGCATCATAAAACTTGTGTGTATCGGCTACCCGTTGCAACGTATCATCACGTGCTCGCAAGACAATGTCTCGTGAAGAAAATTGATCACCACTAGTTACGGCTGCTATTTCGTTTATCAAAGGTACATTGTAGTGCATTTCATGCTCTCCTCGAGGGGTCAGATCTGCGTGAATGACGACTTTATAATCCTCTTCAGGTAGGTTTTCTAAAGCAGTTTTAAATATTTAGTCTAAAATGTTACGTTCATTCAAGAATCTTTGAATTTTGAACACTGTGTCTCTCTCAACTACGGTAACAACTACGGACGGTCTACCTCAATTTCTTCGTCATCCATAATCCATACAATTACTAATAATTTAAACTGTTCGTTTTCAGCTGGAAAAAGTGAACCTATTCTATGATAAATTTGCCCTTGCACCGTAAATGTAGGCGAAAATCTCGGCATTATTATTTCCCGGTCAAATCCGAAGGACGTCATTTGAAAGCATGAGTTATATTTCTGGATCCTGTTTAAAAAGCGCCGTGACTCATTAGCATCATATAAAAAGAGAGTTTTCAAAAGTTCTTCTGGTTCCCCAAGTAACGGAAGAGACACTTTGCTAATGGAACAGCACATGCCTGCGGTCTCATCTTTCCATTTTAAAGCGCTGAAAAATCGACACGCCTTGTCCAGCAGGCCGATAAAAACTAACCTGTGATTTTTATAATCAGTCAACGGATCATAATTGAATGCTGCGTCATTAAAAACCGACCAATTGTTTCTTTGAACACTTTGTCGACGTTCAGCTTGGAGCTGTGCATTTGCATCTCTTCGCGCCTGTGTCTGTTCTGGTGTTTCAGATGCTCTTATAGTAGATTGACGTTCAGCTTGCTCAATGAGTCTGTGTTGAGTTTCATCAAGTGTTTCCGCGGCTCTTAAGGCGGCCTGACGTTCCGCTTGTTCGAATAGCCTTTGCTGACTTTGAGCAGGTGTTTCAGTAGCTCTTAAAGTAGATTGACGCTCTGCCTGTTCAAGAAGCCTTTGCTGGCTTTGATCAGGAGTTTCAGTAGCTCGGCCGTAAGCCAGCAGCGCACCTGCTTGCAGTTTTTTCGCGGACGGTGATCTACACTTATCATCTAATGGGCACCATGCTCGTTTGCATATAAAATATAATATACATCTCCCGTTGTAGGGAGGATTCACTTTAGTCTCGGTATGCTTAGTACGAACATTAGCCAAAGCAATAAGTATTAGTGGTTTCACAACAGTAACCCTTTCTTCCGTCGCCGGTTTGGAATATATTATCTGGTCAGCAATAATGTTAAAATAAACTAAAATAAATATCTTTTATAAAAATACAAATAAATTTTGTCTTAATATATAACGTTTCTAACTAATCTAAATTAGTTAAAGAAATAAATTCAGACGTTGAATTAATAAGAGTCACCTTGCGTTGTTAACAGTCTGTCTCCATATTGATCAACTTGACTGTGCACTGTAATGGCACGAGATGCCTACATTACCATTCATCACATAGTCGTCAGCATCACCAAAAAGCTTGTGGATTAATTACTAACTGGAGTAAATATCACGCAAGTGTTATTGCAAGCAAGCGTTAATAAAAATTATAATAAACTAGAGTCGTTTTGAATAACGTAGACAGACGATAAAATCTAGCGTACACATCATACATATTAATGTTAATTGCAAAATAAATTAATAGTGTAATTAAACAAGTTGAACTGAAAATATGTCTTCTTTGGACATCTTTATTACGTATTAGCGAACTTAAGTACTTATTTACAATTTAACATTCATTTGTATTATGTCAAGCGTACATTAAATAGAACACACAATCTGTCATCATTTATCCTATGATGGTAACCAGTGATCTGCATATCCTACACGCTTATCAGTACGAGGTTGCTTCTCGAGAACCTTTCTACCCCATCGTTTGTCGATTTGGCGGTAACTCTCCACAACTTAACCATTTCAAACTGTAAGTCCACACTAAACAATCACAAAGGTTTACATATAACTATCGCATACGATGGTTAGAAAGCCTAAGTAGCGCCAGAAATAAACGTTCATTTCGAATAAGGTCGATATGTGGTAAACTGCAATAAGCATTGGATCGATGTGGCTATTTAAACACGGTAGGAAATTTATGTTTTAACTACGTTTTGTAAGCGAAAACATTCAAAGCAAATAAAAATATTGGGTTTGGTATTTGATATTCTATATTAAGTTTTCTTTAATTTTATGCGTATGAAAATGTTTACAGTTACTTCACAAACTATGGAAGTTTAAATTTTAAGAAGGAACAATAACAATCTTCTAATGAATTTTCTTTTAATAATTTCAAAAAAAAAAATTAATACTTCGTAAAAATAATCCAAGGTATTTGTAATGCTTGTTCTTCGCGAAATAAAAGCATTCGTGCTAAATGCACACATGAAATAAAGGAGATTTCACGGTTTCCACAGTAAACACCTTTAATAACAAGCATTTTGATTCCATCGTTTACTTCGATTTGACGTGCTATCAAGCTTCAACCTCACAATTTCAAATAGTGTTTTTATATCGTTAAAATTTTATATTGAAAAACTTTTTGAAAAGTATGATACAAGTGTGAATGAAACGCGTTTGAAACTTGACGGGTTCCATCCCTTCTGCTACATTTGCAATTCTGAAAGTTTTCAAAAAGAGGGCAAAGTTATTTTTACATATTTTTGAAATGCTGCGCGAAAGTCAGGAGAGACCTGCAGCGTACGTTGAAGGTACGTATATACCCACTAACTAGCTTTTATTCGTGACCGCGTAGAACTTTGATTAAAAAACCTCAGATCATTTAATTATTAAAGACATTTTTGATATTTGTTTACTGGAAAATGCTTAAAATAAAAGCTGATCAGATATTTTAAATGTTTTACATAAAAAAAAATTGTAATCGTCTCAATTCATATTTTCGTTGTAAAATGGTGTTGTATCAAGAAAATGTTAAAAATCGAATTTGCATCCAAACATTAACTTTTGTGTCAAATCGCAAACCAAAGAATATCTGTATCAAACTTTTTTATGTTTCTTGTAATTTATGAGTTATCAAAAACTATTTGTTGTGTGATTTGAAAAAATTGTATGTTTTAACTTTCTACTCCTAGGCACAGGTCTCCTAAAATTTTTTAAAGAGTTTTTGGGCAAAAGAAGTGTCCATCTTGGTGTCCTATAGAGTTTTGGGGTTCACATATCTTCGGAATATCTTTTTACAATTTCTGAAACATGCAGGTTTTCAAATACATTAAAATTGTAATTAGCAATTTCACGATATTATTGATTGGGTTTGAAACAGGACAGCTCGTGTACTGTGAAATTTACAATGAGTGCTTAATTATTGAGCTATCGTGGCATGACAAACCCACGGACAGAAGAAAAAATAGTTACTAAAACCTTAAAAGCATTAATAGTAGGCAGATATTTCATTATTACAAACTATTGAATTGTATAATTCCGAGTTACACAAATACTTTAATTTGTCTGACGATATGACATCCGTGTGCATAGTTTATTACAAAACATGTATACAATTAAGGTAATTTAATAAAAACCTGTTTCTTAGACATTTTCTTTAAAATAAAAAGACAAAAACATAAAAATACATCATATATACATTCGAATACTAGGCACAAGTCGTCACATTTTTTCCACACTTGTTACAACCGTGTAGTGGCAGTGTAAGATATTCCGAGAGTGTTCTAAGAGACGATAGAAGTAAAATGAAACAAGAAATGGGCAGCAGAATATTCCTGGTATTAAAACCAAATAATAAAAAAATCATTTGTGTAATCCCCTCGCGGCAGAAGTGAAACTTTCAGAAATGTATACAAGAATGAGGAGGCTACGGAGCAACGCACAATGATAAGACAGAGTTATCTCTGTCTGTATTATCTCATTCTCTCTCAGGCTGAAATCTTATGGATGTATATTTTCGTCTCTTTTCAGTGTCGCTTTTTCATTTCATCAAGTTCCAAATCACAACGACTATAAAGAAGTTTTCACTTCAAATACCTGCAGTTGATAACCCGCATGCTAAAACTATGGCAACATGCCATGCATGCCATGAGGCAATTTATGAGGAAGGCCTATGTTCAGCAGTGAACTTTTATAGGTTGTAATGAAAAAAATAGATTGGAGCTTCTGAGCTGATTCAGTGTGAGTCGGCAAACTTCAAAGTTCTCAAATGTTATATTCCTCAAACAAGCAGATATATAGTATCCTTACGACGGCGATGTTTCCTTCTACCGATTGGCACGTAGTAAACTGCCATTTAAAATTGCAATTATTAGTTTAATTGGTGCCAAGTAATCGAAAACAGATTGCTCGCGTACTGTGAAGTTTGCTGCTAGCGCTTAGAATCTGAGCTACAACGGATCTAGCTATTATTGTCGTTACTCTATGCTGTATTTATAAATGTTTATGTTATTTTGTAATACAACAATCGAGACATTATTTAATGCATAGCAATTATAACATTCACTAACCACTTGGACTATCTGCTCCTTTGTTAACCTAAATTCCATAAAGAAATAATATATAACACTAGAATAGAACACCACATTTGACACTAGAATCTGGTAAAGATAGATATCTGACACTAGAACTGGCAAGGAAACGTCTTATTCTAATTGCTTTCTTGGTACTGTATGGAATTGGTTTGATTTATACATATATTCAGAATCAATTTACCTCTCTTTATTTCAATAAGGCGTCTTCGATTGTCGAATGGAAATAGTAACCTTTCGACTCCGGGCGCGACTGCATCTTATTTTTATTAATGTTTTGTATTATTTATATAATATTATTACTATTCGTGTTAAAAAAAGCTTTTTAAAAAGAAACGTTTAGTTACAATTTTATAATTTTATGAAATCAAAACTGAATTATTATAAACACATTAAATTTCAGTTACGTACAGTAAGTAACTTGTAATAATTTGTAAAGCATTGAATAATATGCATCTAATAATATTTTTAATGCACGGACTTTAAAAAATATTTTTATTTTACCTCGATCAAAATAGAGTTTTTACTTAGAAAAAAAAAATATGTTAAGGAAAAACACTCCTGGGACTTCGCAAGAAGAATGTTATGGTTTGTGTTTTTTAGATTTTAATATTATTTTAGGCATTTTCAGTTCTTAATAACTCTCAAAATTATAATAAAAATTGAAGAATAAAAAATAAAAACACTTCAAAGGTCTGAGTTCTTTTTCTCTCACTCAAGAAATCTTTGTTGGAGACAGAACGTGTCTCTTCATTACATATCTGCCTTGCGGTGCCACGAAGGGTTACATGAGGCATTGTATCCTATTTCACATGTATATTCATATATTTTTTCTCTACAAAATTTATGCAAGGGTTATTATACTCGGGGAAAAACGGCATTACTGCTATCAGAGTTAACCAATGATTATAAAGAAAGCTCTTAAGGAAATCCAAGTGAATTCTTGTTTGGTACAGAATTTTGTGTAAAGAGACCAAAGGATCTTTATAAATCTAAAAAAAAATATTCAGTGACCTTTAAAATATTGGGACCTGTCTCCATCAGTAACAACCCACTAGACATGCAATAGCCTCTAGCAGTTGCTTTATACCAGCAGAGTTGATACTATCAAGTAATATGTGGCAGGCGCCAAGCCCAACCATCAAGGAAAAAATAATAGATGTAAACACAGCTAAAGAGGTAATCAAATTCACTTGACCTTATTTTATTCCGAATGGTCTAAAATATTATTAAAAAAAAAAAACTTTCTCATAGCAGTTCGACAACAATACATTAGTGTGTGTCAAGCATGTCCTCTCACATATATTGAGTTTAGTATGTCAGAAAATATTAATAATAAAAAATATATAAATATTGTCATAATTTTGTTTTCACTTATTGGTAAATACCATGATATGATATATACATAGATAAAGAGATTCAGAAAAAAAAGTGGAAAATTCTAGAATTGCTGTTAATTGGATTATAAAGTTCATTCGAAAAAAATCAATACCTTAAAGGAACATTTAAATAATATATAATAATATTATTATATACATATAAAATTATAGCATTTTCATACTTGGAATGAAACACAAATATTTCACATGAATGATAAGTCAATTATTAAATTACAATCCACTACAACAATCAATTAATAGACAAATAAATATCTGTTTGTCCAGCTATATTTTATGGGTAAATGTATACAAAACAAATAAAATGTATCAAAAGAGAATGATTGTGAATCTAAATTAATACTGAAAAATCATATTGAGATTTCAAGTAATCCAATTACTTGAAATCTGAATATATACTTATAAAATGAAAATCCTTTTAGTACATACCTAATTAATGTGATATTGTTTTTTGGTCCAAAAACTACATATTGTTAAGAAAGACATTACATATTTACTAAATAGCTAAACTTTTGGCACATTTGGAAAAAAATAATTCTCAAAAACAGCTGTGAGGCTATTGAAGTTTATAAACCTTGCACGTGGTCCAACCTTACCTATCATACTCTATAGCACTAGACTACTAATAGGAAATAAGAATATTAATTTGTTGTCACTTGGATTAGTTGTGCATCAAAGTTTTCTTACAAATCTTTTATGCACAAGTAACTCAAGAAGATATTAATGTCGTTTTAACAAGTTACAATGCAGTTAGGATTTTGAAGAGTTTTTTAAAGATTGTTTGTTTTTGTTTTTTAATTTTTGTACTATTTTACAAAAAAAATGCATAAATCTCAATTTTGGCAAAAATTTCACTTGAATCACTTGACTTCTGCGCTATTCTGATAAATGCCGGCGTTACTAATATATACATATAAGTTGCAGCCTACTATATATTTTATTTATTAACAATAAATTGTGTACGAATATTACCACCACGCCCTTATTAAGTTGCTAAGCCTAAGCGGGTAATATTGAAAATTATTTAATTTCTTATTTTTTTACAACTAATGTTAAATCATATTACATAACTAAATATAACTAGAAGGATACACATAATATAAAAAAAAACTATAATAAGGAAAGCTAAAATTAAAAATTTTAATTTTTATACAAACCTACTTCTCTCTTTTATTAATTTTAAAAGTATTTATTAAAATTAGCATCATATTTATAATAATTTAGCTTACTGCTAAGGGATTTCCGATTTGGAAGTTTCGAGCATTATAACGACTTATTGGATTTAAGTGTTAAAGTCGCTCTATATTATGTGGTGGAGTCATGTAGCAACTATTTATAACCTATAAGTAAAAAAAGTAAAGTAAATTTACAGCCTATATACGTCCCACTGCTGGGCACAGGCCTCCCCTCATTTATGAGAGGGTTTCAGGGCATGGAAGTGTCCGCCGCGCTGCCCCAATGCGTGTTGGCGAACTTCACATGTCTTCGAAATATATTTTTTTCTTATTCCTCAGACATGCAGGTTTCCTTACGATGTTTTCCTTCACCGCCGAGCACGTGGTATAACCTATAACCATAGAAGAAATTTAATTATTCTATCGGTCAATATTCGTTAACAATCCGTAGAATACGGTAGTAATCGTAATAAACTTTCGCTAAAAACCGTTTACTAATCAAAAAATATTATAATTTCTTAAGAATGTCACTCACAGCACAACGTGTTGCAGTTTTTCAAGTGCGACTGCATATACTTATCATCAGTACTCATTTTTCGTCTGTCCTATAAAAAAATACTAAATCCTATAAAATTACTGTCGTTTTCATACCCTTAAAAGCAGAGCACAAGAGTGTATCACTGACATAAAAATAATCCTACAAAACGTTGATAATTTCATGTTAAAATCCTTTTCATTTTTATTATTTTTTAAATCAAAAGAGCTTGTGCAATTTCAAGAAAGTTAAGATAAATATTTATATAGCAATAAATATTTTCTTATTTGCAGAGCGGGTACTCTACGCCAGAAATAAATTTCTCACCACTCCTAAGCCGGCTGTGACAGGCGGAAAGCCCATATCAGAAGAACTTGCTATCGTAAGTGCTGAATATTACGATAACTAGGTTTTTTATTTTGATATATGAATACGTCAATATTGTAAAATATTCAGATGTATGGAATATTTCAGCATTGTTTAATGACAGTACTACAATAGTACATTGAGCTTTAGAAAGTGATATTGAGTTTGTACTATATTGACAGATTGGGAGAGAATGGGTCGGCTTGATTGGGGTAGGACCACCCTCCCACAGCATACCAACTTAAAATAGCAGCTTAATATTGCTTTATTTCTTATGGTTAGAATAGAGAACCTGAAACGCTTATTTCTGGAAACAAGGCATTCAATATTAATCGTCAAGGGCAACTTTTTGATTCTCAATTGAGTATAAATGAAGAAATGTCTGTGGGTCAAAATTCTATCTCAAATTTATATCGGATCCTGATTTGAACTCGATAACACATCATCAGCATTCGCACAGTCAAAATGATTAATTTAAATTTTTGTGTTTTAGGAACTACGGATAACAACATTCGGGACTTCAGCCTGTCCTCCTCGTGGTGAATGGGTCCGGTCACCGCTAGTTATGAGGCCCCCAAACCAGCCTCTGTCTTATGGCCTCGCCGCACCACGTAATGGCGCTAGATCCTTACTATCTGGACTACAGGCCCACATTATTAAATGGCTGCTTTTCGATTCGCGACCTTTGACTAAGGATAATAAGCCAACGGAACCTCCTGAAAGGTGATGTTTTTTTTTGCCGTATTTCATTTTAGTATAATCATAAACAAGTATACTAGTATTGGCACTATAACTGTTACTTTGCTATTATTACTTTGCCGTATAGTGGCGGTGGAAGAATATCCACTACTCCATATATTCCTGTGGGTGTCATAAAAGGCGACAAAGGGAAACTGAGACATTATATGGAAAGCAGAATTAATCAGATAACAGCAATAGTACAATAAAAAACTGCGGTAGTCGACCCGCTCGCTGAGCGTTGCAGCTATTGCAAACATCCCCATGAGCAACGACATAAACAAACGGCCCACAGTCCCCTACGGCCCGGCTATTTCTGGCTTTGGTGGCGACGACGGTAACAGTGGAGCAGGGGTGCTATGAGTTTCTGGTGAAGGTTCAAATTCCACCTAATACTCCAGTTAACTATTCCAAATAAGCTTCAATAATAAATTGAATTAATAGTGTTAGGAATGTTTGAGACAGAAGTCCTGGATGGTAAATTCGAGACCACGTGTTTTCAAGTTTACATTTCAGACCCTTAAGCGTTAGGGCTAATGTTGCTTTATGTCGCTTAAAATATTATGGATTCGTTGAAATTCCACTTGTAAAACCTTGTGTCTGTAGGGTACATGTTGAAGAGCTACGCTGTGGCTATATTATATGGTTGTATCATGAATGGGTTGGCCTTACCGGGAAGGACCGCACTCTTACAGAATACTAGCGTAAAAAAGTAGCTTGTATCTGCTGTAATTTATATGGGTAGTGTAGAGAAAAGAAAACACTTTGCACTGAAAACAAGGCATTCTATCTTTGTCCTCAGATTCTTAATCAACTGGACTTTGTGCTCGCTTATCACTTTATTCTATAAAATAATAGTATGATTTGATTGAGAAGAAGATTGGTGACCTCTAAGATATTGAAAAAATCAATGAAGTGATTTATATATTAGTTTTAGGAACAACGTTTTTATTATTACATGTTAATGTAACTTCAAACGTAGAAGTTACAATATTTTAAAATCCTTAGCAGAGGCTTCCAATTATTATTTACTAGGGCGGTTATAGAGTAATTATTCCAGCAAGCCACTCCCTGCGTGTTGGAAGACTTCATATTATATGCACAAAATATTACATTCTTCCGACATGCAGATTTCCTCACGATATTTTCTTTCATTGCAGAACACATAATAAAGGCATTTAAAGCTGCAATAAACAATTTACATTCTACTACATACATTAATTAATGACAGCAGGTAGATCACAGGGTGGATAGATAAATATGTCAAGCTTGCCAGGCGGAACTAAATTTTTTTTAATATTTTGGTTTGTTATGTAAATTTTCTGTCCACCTTCTGTTTTATTTCCCTTTCTCGTCTTTTAAAACATTTACGCTGATTCATTTTCGCCGCCACTACACGAGGTGCGTTATAATTCGTCTAAAATCTATCATATAGTGCAATTATAAAAAAAGTTTGTTGTAAAACTTCTATAGTTTTACAAGTATATTCCATCAGATTTTTCTCTCTATTCCGTTAGCCATTCATTCTATTACAGCCTATTAAATTCCACCGCCGAGAAAGGCCTTTCCCACAGATCATTTCACAGGGGGCTATCTGCTATATTGCCACGCTTGGCAAGCGGGATTGCAACTGAAACAATTCATTATTTTATGTTATCCTGTTCGCTCTACAGTGGTACACATGTGACTAACACAACGTCCTCCGCCCGCTCGACAAGGATACACATTAGTACCACTCATAATTTATGAGGGCGAACCCGACAAAAAAAGGTTTTTCATTAAAAATTATAACAAATTTATGCTGAAATGTATAATGCAGACATAGACAAAGACATACTTTTTAATTTGGTACCATAATCTTTCAATTTCGATTCTAAAAATAAACATAAAAATCATTCTGACGTAATGGCTTTTTACAACAACTGGTAGTGCGTGAGTTATTTCTGAGTGATTTCTCCGTTTTTCTGTATGTTTTAGGAATAAAAAGGTGAGTTTTATACTTTCGTGTATTCCTTGTAATAAAACAAACACGAAGATATATAATTTGTGGCATAAAAAGTGAAAAGTAAGTGCAAAATGTACTTCGAAATCGGGAAGGCATTTTAGTGGTTGGGTCAAAAATGTGTTATTTTTACAATTCTTATTAATTTTTAGTGTAAAATGAAACTAAATAATAATTTTATAACATATTCCAAATAACTTGACGTTGTATTTATTTCAAATTCATACAAAAATATTTGAAATATTATTCGGAAATCTCATACAGTTAAAAATTAATTTCGTTTTTTTTTATTTTTATATTTTGGTATGAATAACGAATAAAAACACATAAAACATAAAAATATACATATTTCCAAACATTTTCGTATAGATTTCTCCAAAAAAAAAACAAACATGTAGAATTCAAATTAGTAGTAATTTTAGACTAAAAGTGAAGTATCTACTGCTACTATGTTAGAAAGGGTAATTTATGAATTTTATTACAATTTCTAGCTACTAAAAATAATTTTATTCGATAGTTTATACATTCAGTAAGAATCCCTGTAAGTTTTATCCATAAATATTGTGATTTCTTATATTTACGCGAACACTATACATGATTAAAACTACTTTTACGGATTTTATCGCCTTTATTTTTACTTTTTATTTACTTTTATTTTTAATTCCCGACGTTTCGTCCCCCGTGACCATGGGTGCTGGAAAGCGCCCGAAACGTCGGGAATTAAAAATAAAAGTAAATAAAAAGTAAAAATAAATGCGATAAAATCCGTAAAAGTAGTTTTAATCACATAAATATTGTCTCAAAGTGAAAATATTGCAAAATTTGCAAGTTAGCAAAAAATTTGCAATTCCCGCCATTTTACGTCGCGAGCCAACCGGCGAATCGAATAATGTTGCACAAGAGATTGAACTGAACCAAGGTTCAGTTTCTCTCAGTTATATTTTATGACACACAGGAGGTAATATGGAGTAGTGTACATTCTTACACTGCCTACACACGGTTCCTATACTAACTTTTTTAAAACATTTATTTTAAGAAAGTGTGTCATGCAGTCTACCTAAACTGAATTTTATTTTTACTCCGTTTTAAAAATGAAATCAACCTATCTCCGCAGTGGTATGAAAGTATTAATTTTTCACGAGGTAGCATGTCTCCAGTGACACTCGTATCTATGTAATTCCCGCGCCTCATACTACGGTTTGAAAATGGCCTACGCTCTTCCAAAGCCCTTTCAGAATCATTGCCTATTCAAAATAAATGAGACCCGGTTCTTTAGATATCTCTAATGTGAGTGCACGGAGCAATCAAAAATTACCTTAAACAACTAACACGAAAGGCCAGCGCTGGGAATAGGTCTCTCTTCAAATTCAAAATATTATTTATGAATTCCGAGACACGCGATTTTCCTCACGATTATATGCTTAACTGCCAAAGATATGATAAATCAGCACTAAACATTGTAATTAACATATTTGTAAGTACGACTGAGATCGAACCCGTTTTAATCGCGTATTGTGATTTACGGCGGGCGATTAACATCCGAGCCTGTGTTAAATATCCAAAAGCTTCAATCCAGGTAAGAACATCAATATGTTTAGAAGTTGCAAAGAAATATTTTTTTATATTATATTTACAAACTTATCTATTGAACACGGTAGTTCTCAGAACAAACGTATGTAATATTCACAGTTATCTCCGTCCCTCTGAAGAACGACAGGAAGAAGCACTTTGGCGAGCTTGTAGTGAAGTGATTTGGCGTTGCGGTGGAGGATTCAACACTCAAAATACATCGGACACCAAGGTTGTAGTAGCTCTACCCACTGATAGTACTTACGTGCAGCACAGCGCCCAATATTATCAAGATGGAATAACTGAGAAGGTAAAGATGGACAGTTTTATTTTTTACTCCACAATTTCAATATTGATATAAAAATATTCATATCAATATGTTTTTATATGTATATGTATATATTCTTAAAAATATTACTTGTTTTATTTTACTAGGTTGTGGGCATCTTTTTCTGCCTAGTGGTTTGTCTGGTTATCTATCACCTATTTCTGTCGCCAAGTAGCCGTGTGCATTGCTGTGTTTCGGTCTGAAGGATATAGTGAGCTAGTATAATTATAGGCCGTGAAACATTCCCCTTTAGCCATCAAAAGATATCGACGTATATGCAACCATCTTCGTTTTAAGTTAGTTGCAACTATGTCTTGGAGTAGCTTCTTACCATCAGATGTACTGCAAGTTCATTGGTGAAATAATACTGCTCGTAACATTACGAATACTCCCGTTATAATATAAAATGATATTTGCGGACCTGGGATTCAAATCCTGGAACACAACATGTTCATCAGTCACACTTACTATCACCACTAAGCTAACGAGGCAGTCCTGTCAGTTTTGTAGTAAGCAGTAACTAGTATACAATTAGCGGATAGTGACTAAATACGTATAAGATGTTAAATTAAAACAAAACTTTGTTCATATCAAACTTCTAAAATATGAAATGCATTTATTTTATAATCATTTCATTTACTTTGCATTCTTATTATAGCATTTTCTGTTTCAAGCTGCATTTGTTTGAATTCAATAGTCTAGAAGATTTGCAAATTTTTATTAAACGTTATATGTACGTGGTAAGTACGTAAGAATATTTATTTATTTAAAAACTTACATGTAACATCTTATGTAAGCTAAAGGGTACACAGGGCGGACTTAATGCCATGTGGCATTCTCTGCCAGTCAACCCTGTATATAATGTAATATATTATGTTTAATCAAATGTGAAATGTTTTAAAATAGTAGTAATGGAGAATTAGGTAACAGAACAAAACAATTTTGACGGTATTATGATATATGTAATACAAATTGGAGTTTTAACACATTGCGAGTATGGAGAATGACATATAATTTTTTTACTCCTGTTGTTCTTTATTACTGAATGTTCTAAATAATGTAAAGAAAAGAAATGCCTTACAACCTACGAAAGGTTTTAGTAGCTTATCATATCATAATGTAAACCTACATATTATTAAATGTTAATAATTAAAAATTTTATACCTACATAATACGAGTACTGTCCGTACCGCCCGTTAATGTTATCGTTTATCTTCTTGTCAACTGTGTCTAACCGAAAAAACTAACCCATTTCCTTCCTACAATAAGAGAGTCCTTTGTTCAGCATTGAACTTTAAAAGGCTTATTATGCTGATATTAAAAATAAATAAAAACATACCAACGATTATTTTATAATTTAAATGACTTGTATTAATAAAGTGCAGCGCCATCGTCGTATCGTTTTTTTTTAATTTACCCGACTTTTTAAAGAATAAGAGTGATTTATGAGCACACAGTCCACCTGATGGTGAGTAGATATTGAAACAGCGTACTGTGACCTATACACATATACACCTATCCTCGATTAAGCATAAAAATACTCATATGTGTGAATTGTCACCCTTTATGATTAAGTTGAAATGAATGCCGATTATAGCATAAAACATTATATGTCTGTTGAATTAAAACTACTAAGCTTTAGTCCATTTTTTAAGATTATTCAAAAAACTTAACATAAAATGCAACTATCCAATTCGATTACGCATGTCGTGCTTTAATAATATTAGTAGTATTATGTAGTTCGATAATCTTCAGTAAAAGAAAAACGAGCTAAAAACTTTCAATTAAAATTCTACAGTTCAAATTAGAAGAAGGAGCTGGCGCCTTATTGTTGTTGTACGCTGCCGTGTTGTCAAGAGGTTGCGATAAGTGAGTTTTAAAAATTATCTTTTAATTTGAAATAATCTTTTAGTATTTTTATTGAAATGGGAAAAACGTCGGAGGATAAGTCCAGTCAATTTCCAATGCTAAGCTTTCTTCGTCATTACATATTACAAATGAATTAGAGAGAAACATGACCAGGATCAGTTGGTACTTTCCGTGTTTTCTGCCATTTTTGTTGTTCTTAAGGAGCACTTGAGGGGGGGGGGGGAGAAACCGATTACATTAGTTGAATACAGCTTTTCTTACCAGATCGCTTAGTTAAAAATTAAAAAAAATAATATAAAGTATTTAATTATGTAGCTGATGGTTATTGACTATTATTTTAAATAATGAATTTATTGTGATTTTATTAAGAGCAACTTAAGAATAAGAAGACTGCCAAACACAACGCGCGCTAAAAAACGAGCACAACAATATACTCTAAAATAAGGCCAAGTTAATAAAGAAAAAAGGTTGTGTAAATCTTAGAAGACATTTGAAGATATTTGCGGGCATCATTTATTTATTTATTTAACAGTTTATGTACACACATACTTCGATAGAAAAATGCTAAAAACAAAATTATGTACAAAGTATCTCTTCCAGCAGGCCTATTGAAGGATATTTGAAGGAAATAGAGGTAGTCAAAGTGTGCATTTTTTTAAAATATACATATACAATACAAATACAAATATGCAAAACTTCAAATATATACACATACATACACACACATACACATGCGTATATGTATATACACATATACATACACACACACACATATATATATATATATATATATATATATATATATATATATATATATATATATATATATATATATAAAAATAATTACAGTTAAAGTTTTAGCGAGTTCAACTCTTGATATATAAAAGGAAATTTCGGCATTGTTTCGTGAGTAAGGTTATCGCGATCTAATAGACATAGAAATTTACTACTCGTACTTTAAAGTTTTAAAACTAAGAGCAACACCTGATCTGTAAGTAGAATTTGTGACTGAAACATCTTCTGCTATTCATTCTGGGGTTAAGGATCAAAATGCATATCCTGACAATTAAGATGAATGTTTTTGACTATTGTAACACACTATGCAAAACATGGCAGCATTTCGCTGCTATTTTGGGCTGATGTTCTGTGTGAAATTGGTATAATTTACGTTACAGTTACAGCCTATCAAACCATCAATGAGAATATAAAACATGATTCTTCCTTGTAGATTGTCCCATATGTTAATATTTACCATAATTGTCACGCTTGGAAAGCGTTTCAGTTTTTATTAGGAAGATGCTGCTGCCTACGCCCTGATTTATGTCTCTGTATCGCCTCTTACGACACCACAATACAATATGAGGTACCTAGTGGATATTCCTATACACTAGCGAAAATTAAAAATAAATATAGTAAATTAATACATAATAAAATTCTCATTTCGTTTATCAGTATCCTGAAGGATCTAGATGGGAAGCTGAATTACTTGGTTTCAACGCAAGTTGAGGGATCGATTAATGTAACCATGCTTGTCCTGACGGGAAGGGCTACACCGTATCTTCACAATGGCGTAATGTACGTTGGCGATGAGGATCATTACGTCAGTCATCATCATTCATCATCGTAAGCCCTTCACAAGTAAAACTATATATTTTTTTTTAATATTAGTAATCCTATTAATTAACATTACTAATATTCCCTTTAACCCCCTCCTGGTAAGCTGAAAATGCTTGTGTTAGGAGTGGTTCACGACAGTAGTCGAATGGTGGATTCGAACCCACGACCTTCTGAGTTTGCGGTCCGCGCCCTGCCGTTAGGCTACTGTCGCTAATATATATATATATATATATATATATATATATATTATTAATACGGGCGTGAGCATTATTTCAGAGAGAATACGGACTTCTGTTGGGTAAAATCTTAAAACACATCTATCACTTCCTACATGTTCATAAATCTACGCATACATACTCGTGGGTTAACGGCACTCTTATTTTGTTTTAGCTTATCTTTAATATATTGCCAATTTATTCAATAAACTTCCTTTTCTTCACAGTAGTTTCATTTTAAAATTCGTATCTTAATTGGCAACATTGCTGAAATACAACTTTGATGATAGCTTAAACGCGAATCATGTTTATTATTTTTTATTACAATAACATCACCTGATGATATCTGGATATAATACATATTGTCTTAACCAAAAAAAAATATTTACAATTGGTGTCGTTGAGTTGAAAATGTGGAGCTAACTACGGAAAATGGTAATGGCATAATTTCTCTGGAATCTGCATCAGTCTGAAGAAACCAATACGTCGCCAAATAAGAAAGGACCTAAGAACCCAAAACAACCCCTAACTCACTTTTATGGCGATAACGTAAAAATTTACAATTTTACGAAGTGAAATAAAGTAAAGTAAATTCTGAAATGGATTTTGGAGTGGGAAAGGGTCATCGTGCTAATCTAACTTAATCATTTAATATTTCACTTATTCATTGATTTTTTACGGTTTCATTGTTACAATTTGGCTTAAGTACTTATTTATTCCAATTGTCCACATAAAAATGCTTACTCAAATTGCACTTGATATTATTTAACTGTATCTAGTGAAACAGTAACTTCTATTATATCAATAAATATTTTAATAATATTTTAATTATTACCATCACTCTTACGATTTCCCCGTTAAACGTAGGCATTCCTCAAGGGAGCCCACGCAACATGGTATTAGGTCATCCTATATTCACAAAACTCCTGCATTGACACTTTTTCTAATGAGCGATCGCTCTACATATCGCTTGCCGGTACGAAGTTGCCTCTGATAATTTCTCTCCCATCCAATCCCACTTCATCGATTTATATGGTCAGCCCGTATTCACGTCAGCTTACTATACCTTTAAACAATATTCAAGATGATTTCAGGCAATGCCCCAGTTTGGCGTGCTATCCCGCAGTTCAGTTGGCCTACTGATGTGGTATGGCGGAGACGACAATAGTTCAAACAATGTCATTAAACAATATCCAGGGTCCAGATTAAAGACTCCAGCGTTACCAATTTGGGTAAAGTGAACTTTTAATTTGAGTTAATTTAAATAAACAAACCTTTTTACTAAGGCCGGCGGGCGAAGGTCAAGGGAAGATCTCTTGCCGGGCAGAATGTTTAGCCCAAGGAGTGACCTATGCTTGGTACGGAGTTTGTACAATATATGGAGAGTGGTACGGAAACTTTGATAACGCGATTAATTTTTCCGTTACGACACAGTCTGTTTACAGACCGGAGGTTTATAGTGCTGTCAGATTTCAGTGTATCGTATACTGCGTACGCACGAGCAAGTAACACTGGTACGAACGATATTTTGTTGTGGCCCCTAATGTAAAAACCCTGTGGTTCCCATTACGTTCATGACAATAGAAAATTTATGGTAGGAGTTTTCTTACAAAAAAAGTTATTTGTATACTTTTGAATACTGATTTTGTATAAGCTCTTAGCGAGAACCACATGGTTTTTGTTACATGTTGTATATTAAAAGTAATTTCAATGTTCCATATGAGGGCCAATGGCTCCAGCCTAATCAATTATGTATTATATTTAACTGCTTAGAAGGCTGCTTTATAAATTTTTTAAATATAAATGTTTGTGGGTATTTTATATGTATATATGTGTTTTATATTATTACTTTAAATAGATAGATAAGTCTTTACTGTACACTAAAACTATACATAAATGAAAGAAGAAGAAAATAAAAATAGTGCCATAACGGGCGGTTTTCTCGCTCAAAGCGATTTCTTCCAAACAACCTTTTTATAGACACGATTACAAACAGCAGAAAATTGTGTGGTTTGGTGATGCAGAAACAATATTTATAAACATATCCACATAATATATAGAAATAAATACATGAAATATGAATATGTAAATATTCGTATTTTCATGTATATAGATGGCACAAACTCAAAGATTAAGATAGTGATTGTGTACAAGCTTAAAAAAATGATAAAGACTGGGCTCGTCGTACTAACCGACGTAGGGCATTCCATAGATGATGTGCTTGGATAGTAAAATACCCTTTCAAAAAATTTGTTTAATGGCCAGGCATTTTAAATATAGAATTTTCTGATAATATCAAATCCTTTGAATGGGAATAGTGAAGTAATGCAAAGTGATCCTAAAGATAAGAAGGATAGGATGGATTAAATAAAATATCGTAAGGATGTGACAGAATATGAGCAGTATTCCTTTATGTAGTGCTGTCGCTTATACAGCTGACGGAGTATGACGTGTCGGGCAGCGTCCGATTTGCAGTTCTCTTAAAATACAATCACAAAATCTTTAGTTGAATAACATTCTGACGAATGTTTCATTTTAATGTTAAGTTATGGATTGAATAAAAATGGCTTATAGTAATATATTTAGTTGGATCCTAGCTTCTATTTTCTTTATTTCCTTTTAGATTAATTAATATTTCAAACGACATTTCAATTTCTTGTTGCCAAAATTATAACCCTTTACTAAATCAGCGTTTAAAAAAGGGTTATAAACAATGCAAAGGTTTATGTGCGATTAAATCCCTAAAGTTTATTTAACACTTTCACAGCGGAGCATTTTAAGGCGCCGCTTGATACGAATGCCGAGCGGTACTCGTGATTCGTTGTGAAAGGGTTAAGCACTGCCGTTACATGCCAATAGAAAATTTATTTTTGATATTTACTTAATTGATATTATTATCCCCAGGTGACTTGCTGTTCTGGACATTATGGAGTGTTATTCAATACGAATCGTGAATTACTGCGGAATTACCATGCTGAGAGAAGGTGGGTCATAAATTTTCTGCCATAGTGCCTTCAGGAACAATTTCCGACCTTAGTCACAATTTTTGGGTCATCATAGTTATCATTATATTCTAATGCCGGACATAGACCTCTATATTGCCTTCGGCTTTAAGCATCCAGTAACAGTCAGCCGCCTAGCGCAATTTACTCAACCTAGTCAAGGGCTGTCCTACATAGCGTTTACCTAAGCGGTCTCTTATTTTCTTATGGCATTCATAGTTACAAAATAATTACTATCCTTACGAATAGGGATAGACCATCACTGATTCTTGCTCAACCAGAAATCATATAATATAAACAGTATTATATCTAAACTAGCAAGCAGACTAAGCTCTGCAGCTTTTGCTGTAAAAAAGATTAGAGATATCACTAGTGTCGAGACAGCTAGATTAGTTTATTTCCGTTATTTCTATAGCGTAATGACATATGAAATTTCGTTACGGGGGATTGCGACCAATTTGGAAACTAATTTGGTTTTGCAGAAGAGGACCATTAGAGCTATTAACGACCTTAAACCGAATCGAGAATCAAGAATCTCTGAGAATTATTTTTAAAGAAATATATATCTATGAAAATTTGATGTATGTTCACAAAAATAAAGGTAGTTTTAGTAAAAAAAGTGACATACACTCTGTAAATACTAGGAACAAACACAAGCTGGTGCTACCAGTTTCTCGACTCCACAGAGTCAGTATTTCATTTTTGGGGTAATGTATACGCTATTACAACAAAGTTCCAGAAAATATACAAGGTCTCTCTATTACCAAGTTTAAATATTTAATTAAACAAAAACTGTACAAAAAGGGTTAATATGATATAAATGAATACATGGTTTATAATAACCCCTGGGAATGAGGTGGTCGCTTCCAAGCTGTTTCTAAAATAAATTTTGTAAATATTTTGTTACCCTTGAAATTGTAAAATTTATTTTAAAAAAAAGTCCCTTTGAGTTTCTTGCAGGTTTTTCAAACCAGTGGTAACGTAAAATATTGACTTTCAATAAGAATTACTTGTAATCTATATTGAATAAAAAATATTCTATTCTATTCTATATGGTGTAGCGGACTAAGGGAATCCATCACCCCATATCAGGGGTGTCGCAAAAGGCGGCTATGGAATGTTTCGATAATACCTTACGTTTTCTTATAGATGGCATCATAATTACCACTTTTTGCCAGACGATCATTGATCATTCCACCTGAAAAAGCGTAAATGTTAGAGTATAGCCTCCTACAAAATAAGTGGACTATTAAGAGCTTGTGAACAAGAGAAAGCAGCCATGTATTAGCATCTTGAGAGAATCTACTACTTCATATTATTTCTAATGTACCGTAAGAGGCGGCTGCGTGAAAAAAGCGTAGCAGCATCTTCCCGTCAACAACTAGATATAACATAAAACTTTGGCTTAGTATGCGCCTGACAAGCGTAGCGTAGCAACTGTTACGAAGGAAATATCCGCATATAAGGCAATATATTGGGGGCTATTTTCAGCATTCAGCAATCATTACGCTATTAGGTAAAAATTTTAGTTTAAGGACATGATATGTATCATATAAACGTCTTAATTTTATCTAAAACCTAATCTAGTTAACTAAATACAGGTTCGATATCCACTACTATACTTGCGGTGGGTGCCACGTGCTTCTAAACGTCGATACCAGGACACATGAAGATACAGCCTGCGTTAGTAGAAATGATGACATCAGTGCTACTCCACTGGAAAAACTAATACACACCAAGTATGCTATTATTGAAATAAAATACTGCCGTGTAGTGACTACATAAGAATCAAATTTCACTCAAGTATCTAACAAATTTCAAACTCAAACTACCCTGTCATAATTTAAGCGTCAGTAATCTAATATCAGAATGTAAACGGCGTGCTAAAAAGATGCTGGGTTTAAATCCGCGATTCGGCTATTGTCGTGGTCCTAGTAAAAAGAAAAAAGAAAACATAAAAATATTAGACTCTTGCAGACTTCCCTCTCCTTCTATCCTTTTCTTTGTGGTTTAAGGCTCATTAGAGCCACCCGGCACCCGACCCTTACCGCCTCGTCGCCAGGCGTCCATTCGTAGTCAACAGGTAGATCACGGGTGGACGCCGCGTTGTCACCAATGAACCACGCGTGGTCATCGAGTGGACCTCGCGTCGTCAACGAGCGGACCTCGCGTGATCAGCGAGTGACCCTTAAATCATACAATAAATTATACTTCCGAACATATTCTATAAGTTTTTCTTTGTTCATTTTAAAAACATACAACAATGCGTCCGACACATTCGAAAGGAAGACTCGAAACGAAGGGTTTGGTGGAGAGCGCCGCATCGCACTCGCGTGAACCGCGCGTTCAAGCGGGAGGCAAGACAAGGAGTCCACTCGCAGTCCGCGCGTGGAAACCTCGCGAGCGAGTCGATCCGGTGATGGTACGGAGTTGATGTATTGAGCGCAGGCCCATACAAGTCCATACGAAGAATACGAACCGCTCGAGGCGAGGCGGTGAGAGTCGGGTGCCGGGTGGCTTTAATGAGTGACCTTTAGTTTTACTCCGAACGCAATCCGGACTTTAAACAGTGTAAGTTTAAAAAAATGACTCGTTCATACGTTTATACCTATCGGATTCAGATTTTTATTTTTGACATTGAACACTAAACAAGTGAGTAATTGTGTAACATGTAATAAAACCCTTTGGTTCTAGTTAAGTGTGTTATCAGAGTCAATACTCAAAAACTTAAAAAACGTATATAACTAACTTTAAAAAAATGAATAAAATGTAAATAAATTTTTATTTTCATATTGTATTTTATTACCTGTAACTGACACGCGCATCTGTAAAGCGACAATACTCTTCAAATGTAGAGGTAATTAAAATTAAGTTGTAAGTAAGATAAACCACATACAAATTGCAAATAAACTTTCATTGCCATTTAATTTAATTTTTTATGGTCGAGTTTTCTAAGGGAAAGTTATTTGTATTTTTTTCTATAGGATAGGGTGACAAACGAGCATACAGTCTACTTGATGGTAAATGGTTGCTGCGGCCCGTAGACATCTATATATATATCCTCGATTACAAATAAAAATGCAGATGCGTTGTCACCCGTAAGGACTAAGGTCGTAATCGTCTCCAGTAAAAAAGGGTCTTGTATACGTTTAAAAATTAATTCTGTTAACAGACTTAACGGGGACCTTAGTGTTTTCGTTATATATTGTATTTATTTTAAATACCGTATTGGTAAATTTATCGGACAATAGCATACCTATAAACCACCGTCTTGACAAAAAAAAACAAAAAAAAATCGGTCAAATCGTTTAGAAGTTACACGATCACTAACAGACGCACCAGCGACTAATGTAATAAAAGAAATAATTGCGGTCTAAAATAATATATCAACCCATTTCGTTCCGTGATTGTTGCAAGACCAACCATTTACCTAAAATCATTAAAGAAAGTAAAATTAAGAGTTAACAAGATTTAACTTTTATAAATTAAAAACCGATTTCAATAACAAATTTTACAGAAATTTACCGTGGTATACTGAATACATCTGCGTGACTTTTTAGAGGGTAGCAACCGCAACAGCAACCGCTTTATTTATTAAATCGCTTGATTCGCTTCATTAAAGAGTTTTACTGTCTGTCTTCGAAACTCATCATCACCATTTCTGAATAAATCTCTGCCAAAAAAAAAAAAAGAATTTTGCAAATTCATCTATGTATGACGGAATTATGATACATACCACACTCCTACAATTATTTAAGTAGATTAAAAAACTTGAAGGGCTATTAGCAGAGGAAGTTTACGAATCGATACAAGAATATATTTATGAAAAATTTTTGTTTATTTACAAAATATTTTTTCTTTTGAAATCTACTAAAATAATATAATGCAATTTGGTGATATTAATTGTAATTAGTACCTTATATATAATTTGAAAATGCAATTATTCGGAATTTTTTTATTTAAAATTTGTATGCCAATAAATGGTTGATTATACAGGACACAGTACGCAACTAATGATTCCTTATATTTACACGAACAAAGATTTACCCACGGTAGCTAACTGTAAAGGATGGTGGTGAGAATCACCGTTTAAATATATATCTGTATCACATCTCGAAAACTAAAGAGTTGTTATCCTCTAACTTCCTTGTGAACTGAATTTTTGAATTTGTAGAGTTAAGATGGTCTAAAAACGCAGTTACTTTATCTAAAGGTGGAATTATGAAAGTGTCGTCTAGGTACAGCTTGTAGAATCTTGGATTTATGGGGGAAGTATGCAGGGCTTTCTCCTTAACGTCTTCCATGAATATGCCGGCGACAATGGGAGATACAGGTGAGCTCATCGCCACACCATCTACTTGCTTGTAGAACTCCTCCTTCCACAGTAGGTAGCCAGATGTAAGGCAGTGTCTGAGTAATACTGCATATTCTACGGGCTTGTTGTTTTCTTCCAGCCTTCTAGTTACAGTTGAGATGCAGTCTTCAACAGGTGAGCATGTAAACAATGACTGTACGTCAAAACTGACCATAGTTTAATTGTCTGACAGATGTAGGTCTTTAATCTCGCTGACAAAATGATAAGAATAATTTATGTGTGCTCTTGTTTGTCCCCTGAGCGATGAGAGTATTTTCGCTTAGTGTTGATCCAATCTGTAAGTTAGTGAATCGATTCGGCTCACTATACGACGTAGTGGAGCATTGGGCTTGTGTATTTTTGGTAAACCATATAAATTTGGTGATTTGGCATAGTTAGTCAATGAAAAGTCTAGTTGATTTAAGTTAATTCTAAGTAAGGATTCGCTTATTACGTATAAAAATCTTGAATAATTGAAATTTAAACAATTTAATGTGCTTTTTGGCTTTCTATTATTTATAAGCGTTCTTATTAAGGAATCTTGTAGTCGTAACGAAATAAATTTTCTTTGCCTTGCAGTCAAACATCAAAAAAAAATTGTCGCCATAAAAAGGCTATACGGAAAATATCGAAAAAAAATTAGGTACACGTTTTCGCAAAACAAACAAGATTTTGGTTTTCATAGGTGCATAATTACATAATTTTCTGGTTACGTTCTCTCATAAAGAATGATTTTATTACAAAATATCAAATGGGCATCGTCATCATCACCATTACAGCCCTTCGCAAGTTCACTGCTGAACATAGGCCTCCCCTAAAGAATGACACAAAGCGCGGTCCTTAGTCACCTGCATCCCTTGACTTTCTGCATGTCTTACCAGGTTGTCACTTCATCTAGTGGGGGGTTGCCCCGCAGTATGCCTACGAGTACGAGGCTGTCACTCGAGAATATTTTCTCTTAGTCGGTTCTTCGAGCTTTATGGCTGGGTCATTGCTATTTCAGCTTACCAATTCGTAAAACGATATTTTTGTCGAAGTATTTAAGAAAAATATAATTTTCTCGATAGAAATATGACGAATGGTTAAATTATATTTTAATCGGGAGATTTTGATTATAATGTGGGGATCACTACATAAAAATGAGCAATTGCACAAAGAACTGTTTTTTTTTTTTGAATATTCATTTTTAATATATTATGGCTTTGCTGGTTTAAAATAAGAAGAATTTACCCTTATAATTGTATACATATAATGACACAAAATATGGTGTGATATTTATATTTATATATAGTTATAATATTATGTCATTTGATTAAAGACGTTTCACATAATTTTAGAAATTTATGTATATGACACTAACTTATTATCTGATAGTTTACTTCCGTGGTTTACCGTACATACTATGTTGACTAAAATAGTTCATTAAATAAATCATTTTGAACAGCGAAAGTGTATATTTATAGAAAAATTTTGTATTTTTGCCGAATTCTAGGCATTGTTCTGAGTTTCATGTACCGAATTCTAGGCATTGTTATGAGTTTCGTATACAAAGACCTTACGCGTAATAATACAACCAATTTAGCTTCTATTAAATTAAAATCTTCAAGAATTAGTAGTAGATTAAATCAGTACAATAAATGCATTAGTAGTAATGAATATCGGATACACGTGCCGATCAGACTAAGTCATATATAACGACGCCAAATTTTTTCCTGTTCGGATAAATTCAATGAAATCCCAACATATTATCTGATTGTTGCTTCAGGTCGGCTTTATTATTAAATCGCCAAATTCAATACGCTGATTCCAAAATTATATAGAACTCAGTTAATTCTAAAGGCTCGAAATAACAAAGAGAGCGATGTAAAGACTCCAAAATAATCTGATAAGCTTTGTACTTTGTAAGTGTGAGCGCAACAACCACGTTAAAATTTATTTTCTACCTTCCCGAAAGCCTTGTAAAGTCACGTACAAAAAATGTAGTATATGTATATTATATTTATTCTACATGGTTATTTTGCAAAAACCGGCCAAATTTGCTGAGATTGTTTAGAATAAGTGATATAGGAATTAATAATGTTGAAGAAAAATAATAAAAAAACTCGCACCTTCTGTGCTTTTTATCTTATAAATTCAAAATTCGTGCTGATGCATTATTTTATCTGATTTTACAACGCACTATTGATCGATGGGCAAAAACGTTGTTTGCTCACATTAAATTTGGGATAATTTCAAATAAAAGTAAAATCTTTATTTACTCGTAACTTTAAAATTTGGCTACTCTTTGAAAAATGGCCCTGTAGAATAAAGGTGAGAAGCGAGCACACATAGTCCACCTGATGGTAAGTGGATGCTCTGGCCCATATACGTGTTGTCATCCATGCGGACTACGATAGAATGCCTCGTTTCATAATATGGTAAGTACAGTCAC